GCAGGAAGTGGGGCAATTTCCACACAAGAGGAAATGGATTTGTAGGTGCATTTATTTTGCATTTTATTGCCAAAGGAAAATACAAGTTGTTGAGGTAGTGCGAGTAAAATCTGCGTGTCTGTAAAGAAAAACAGTTGCACATAGAAAACTTCATTGACGCTGATAGAGTAAGATTTTCCTGGCTAGTATTTTCTTTGTCCTCTGCTGGAGTTTGTCTTCTGGGTTCTGTAGGGCAGGGTGTTGTCTGCCACATTGTGTTTGCACCAGTATGTGGTATGATGCAGCCTCACTCTTGACTGCTGCTTAGATGTTACCATTTAAAAAAAAAGTCATTAACGCTGATAATAGATCGTGGAATCAATTAGAGATAAGGTAGAATATACTGTAGGTACATTCTAGTATTGGAAACCTTTCTACCATCATGATTGCTAGGTACGTGCTGAAATACTCTTTTCCTTCCCACTCTTTGAAAATGAAAAAAAAAAAAGAAAGAAAAAGGGGAGGGTGTGTTTAACACTGTTAATCCAGTGTTATTGACATACTGATCGGGATTCTGGAGGAACAGAGACAGTCTTAAAATTGTAATACACCGTTCTGTTTTGAAAGGGAAGCAGCAACACTACAGTTTACTTCTAATTGAATATAATTTCTAATTGGATGCAGTATTTTTGCTAGGCTTGGGCAAGGCCCAGGCTTGGGCTGATCCTCTGTAGAATAATGTAGTGATCTTGAGTCTAGATCCTTGTGAAAAGGGTCATTATATAATCCACATGGTAGCTTCTGTCTGTGAAGTTTGATCACCAGCACGAAAGCTTGGATAGATACATGGCTTTAGTCAAACATGAAGCAAAACAGCTGAGCAAACTAAGATGGAAGACTTACAGCTTACAGTATCTAAAATCTATAATAACCAAGAGTCTGTAGCCTGCAGGACTCAATCAAAAAATTAAGTCATGTAGGATAGCATTCTGAAAATTAAAAAAGACAGGAAAGTCTGTTGTATAGCCATCTGTTCCTCCTTGGACTATGTTCTTGGTAACAAAAGGAGGGGTAATAAGCACCATTTGTGGCAATTAAGTTAAATATGAAAAGGAGTAAAGATTGACAAATAAGTGTGACTCTGGGGAAAACTTGATATTCTTCTCTGCCTCTGTATCTGTGAGATAATCATTCTCCTTGGAGAATGAGGGTTTTTAAGATGTCACTAATCTCTACAGAATGAAAAAGAATTATTCTTTATCCCTAGTTTGCTTCTCATTTTAAAGGCTGAGAAAATTATTGTTGGTCTCTTGTAATTTAAAAGAACAATTAAATTCTTAGCACATAAGTGATGGTGGGAGAGGTCATATAAGGTCAGGTTCTAATCGTTAATACAGGACACATACTGCTAATACATGACACCCATCGCCATGTTTCTCAAATAAACTAAAATCGTGGCTACTCATGCATGAGCAATCACAATTTTTCAGATAGAGAACAATATGCTCAGAGCTGCTGAAATTATCTCCGCTCTTGTCCCTGAAACTTAAAGGGTTTTTTATACAAAATTCTGTGCTGTTTTTGTTGGAACACACTTAACAATCAAATACAGAATCATAGAACTGAAATAATACCTAGCAGATTCAAACACTGGGGAATAAGGATGCCGACTGACTTCTCAGAAACCCAACATGCTGTCACACCTTCTAAGCTCTGTCAAGACTAGAATAAAGGGTGTTTCTAAAATATGTTAGCTAATACTTTTTTTTCTTATACACTTGCCATGGTGTTCAACTTGCCTTGCTGATATATAAAAGTATACCTCTCACTGTACATTAAAATTTTAAAATGTGTAAGCAAACTTGTCTAAATTCATTATTTTAAAGCTGAAATGTAGTTGGTGGGAAAAGGAAGTTTCTTTTTCACAACTGGCAAGGAAATTGTAAGCAACTAAACCTTTCCATAAAGAAAATTACTTGTAATATTGTGCATGTGTGACACTTAGAAAGTTCTTCCTCAGGGATGCACAGAGTAAATAAGACTCATCAACTCAAGAAAAGGGCTGACTATGTAGCTAAAGGATGTGAAGCTTTAATGGCTGGAGTTCTTTTCTCATGAAGCTTAAGACAGTCTCTATGGAGAAATAAGCAGTGCTAGTAAAATGATTTTGCTCTTGGTATAACATTGTCTACGTTAGTGTTTCTGTCAGTTGTTTAACTTGTGGCTTTTTTCTTAACAGTCTTCATTGACAAAACTGTTACGTGCTACAGAAAATGGAATATTGCTGTAGTCACGTTAGCCTAAATGGCAGGGGCTCGACTAATAGAAAGAGAGCAAACACACCACAGCAATTGGGAGTGATCTAAGATCCTTTACAAGAAGCTAATAATTTCTTAGTTTAATCAACAGTGAGGACTCACCAGACCCTTCTGGAGATAATTGAGAGTCTTGAGAGCATTCTCCTCCTCCACCAAGCTGTGGAGGTGGATTGGCTGACAAGGGCTTCATTTTTTTGCTCACCCAGACATACGACAGAATCTCTAGAAGCTAAAGCTAATAAAGGGAAATCAGGAACAATGTGAAAATTGTAGAATATGGAAAACAGTAGGAAAAAAGGTAGAATAGAGAAAACAAATGAGTTGCTGAAACCAGGTAGAATTCATCGTGCTCATATGTAGGAGAATCTCTCAGGGATCATGAGAAGGAACTAGCAGCAAAATAGGTGTTTGAAAGAGGCATCCTGAAACTTGTGGATAAGAGGGCTAGAAACACAGCAAGAGATGTAGAACATGATTAATTGCAGTGGAGTCATTCTTCCACCAAGTGAGTTTAAATGCCCAGTGAACTCTCTATTAACACTGGGGAAAAGGTAAGCAGAGGTTCCTAAGGACTCTTCCATGAGCATAAAACCCAGAGAGGTGTGGGACAGTTGGTGGTTATCCTGTAAGGACTTGCTGCTAGAAATTTTTGGGTATATCACAGTTTTGATGCCACAGTGGATTTGTTAATGGCTTGCTAGAACAAACAGGCTATCTGTGACCATTCAGCATCAAACTCCTATCTGTCTCAAGATAAAGCAGCAGCTCAGGCAAGTATAAAATACATTTGCTGTACCAGTGTGTCCGTTCACCTTCTAAAAGCTAGGGAATCTTGTTGGGATAGACTTTTCAGGAAGAAGATATGCTGGAGGCTGAAGCAAGCAGTCGATGTTGTCTGTCATCTTCTTGGCTTGGGAATGAGAGAAAAAAAATAAAAAGTATTTGTGGAGAAGAGATGATAGACCTCTAAGGTTCATCAGGGGTAATGTGTTCAAGACAGCAGAGAGGTCATGAAAGAATGAAGTATAGATTTCACCTTTTTCCCCATTATTAAAGAGATAGTGAGCCCTTGTGGCAGAAAGTATAAAGAGAATGACTGCTTTTGGGAGGGGGAAATAAAAAGAAAACAAAACCGAATTCCATGAATATGGAATGGTCAATTCCTTAGTGTTTTTTTTGCCAAATACTGTTGTGGAAAACATTTGGAATGTATTAAGGAAAAACATTTTGAGTTCACCCTCTTGTTCTGTAAAAATCAAGTTGGAGAAAAATTGGAAGTAGTGGCAGCAAATAATGTGTGCTGTTGTTTAGCTGTCATCAGTAATTCCATGTAGAGAGTAGTCTCTCCAGAGTGTGATATCTTAAAAAGAGAAGCAAACCCTGAAGAAGGCTGCATGATATATGATTTATAGTATGCCTTATCATCAGAGCTTCCTTTGAATGATTACTGTAACATTTGGTATTTGTTGGTTCAAATCCTTCATTCAGGTTGTAGATAGTACAGTGCATCATCAGACCCCTCATTTATGCTTCACTCTGCTGAAGAAAGTGCTGAGTGGTAGGATAGTCTTTTTGAAGGATGTTACTATATTGCATTTGAATTGCACTCTTCTACTTAACCATGTTTTCTGGGCAGGATGTCTTTTTTGATGCATGTAATGGCACATGTATAATGGCACCTTGGGGCTGGCAGTGTTTCCCAGCTAAGGCTCCCCTGGATGATGGCATGGCTGTTGCAACTGCTGATGCATAGGATTAGTAGGAAATTTCCCACGAACACTAAGGATTGTTTTGGTTGGTTTTTTTTTTTTCTTCAGATGTTAGATTCAGGAATTATCCAGTTTACTTACTCATCTCTTCCATTTCATGCTGAAATTTATAGATTGACTTTTATTGTCAATATGACAATAAAAAGTCCCCTATCTGGGCTGAGACTTCATTAAAGCTTGGCAGGAGTTGCCAGTACGTGCAAAGAAAAATCTTATAGAACTGCCCAGAGGAGGACAAAGTGGGAAAGGCTCTGGGAGTCTTGCAGTAAACAAGAATTTCTCTAGGTGACATGAAGCTTTCATCTGAAGTGGAAGCTCACTTAAAGCTGTGTTTATCATCATGCTTTTAGTGCCTTCTGAGTTGACCATAGAAAAACACATTCGTCTGAGGGCAGCTCCAGTCATGCACTGAAAATGGGAGTTATGTCAAAGTAACAAGCAATTTCCATGGAAATTAAAGCTATTTAAAAATCTGATTGAACTGGAAAATGAACTGTGGTTGAGCAAAGAGAGTGCTAATAAGAACAAAAGCTATCACCTATCATTATTTCCCTGCAGATGGTAGTTAAGTTTAATATTTGTCCTTGTGATAGTTACTATTTGATTAGTTGCTTATGGTTGCTAGTTTCCTTTAGCAATGAATAAACTGTAAGCCCATAACAGCTCATTTGAGCAGATCTTAATACCTTATCCTTCTTTACAGGTATATTAACATCCACAGCATTTGATATTCCAGACAGTTGGGACTTGCACAGATTCTCCCTTGGGCATCTTAATAGTCTTGGAGTCTTGTAATCACAAGTTAGAAACCATGTCAGTACTGGGATTTACAGTCTGTGATATACTTGGCTCACGATGAAGTGATGTGATCAGTATGTTTTTTCAAAGTTGCTGATCCAGAGTTCTTTATATGTAGTGGTTTGGGTGAAGGCAAATGTGGTATCAGCTACTTGTTTTGACTTTGGTGATGGGTAAATTTTATTCTGTATTTTGCGTGGCCATTGCACTAAACACTGAAAGCCGCTGTAGTGAGCTGTTTGCCAGCTAAGATCTGCACTTCAGGGAAAGGCAGAATAGCAGGTTAAGCGAAGCCAAGCCAGTCTGTGAGAAGAGGTCAGTCAGCTATGACATGTACCATCAGTTTGCAGTAATCTTAGCAGTGATGCATAATTCCCTCATGGGTAAGATTTTTTGGGAGAATGAAATGCCATAACCAAAAGGCTCACATTTCTCTAGGATTACCGTAGTGCTTAATTAGATGAGCTAATAAAAAGACTTGCAGTTTAAATCTATCCCATGTCTATTATCCCATGACAGAGTAATCAATCAGGATGTTCTGATTATTTAGGCTAAGTAGGACTTTTCAGTCTTTTTCCTGATGAACTTCATTACAAGTTCTTTGTTGCCTACTTCATGATCTGTGCTGTCATTAGTCACTTCATCATCTACCATGCTCTCTCAGTCCTGTGATTGAAAGAATGCTGCGTTCTTCTGGCAGTGTTTCTACCAGTGTCTGAGAGGTGAAGTCACTCACATGGCCGTTAATCCAGCTCTTTAAACTCTCTGAACATCACCGTCCACCTCTGCCTCTGCCCTCTACAGTGCTGCTCTCGGACCCCATTCTAGGCAGCGTTTGTAATGAACGAGTCTGTCTTCTGGTGCCCTTCTCCTTCATCCTCTTGAAGCAGGGAGAATGCTTGGCTTCCAACTTACTGGTATATTACTGTTAAATATAAAGTTACCTGCAAAAAACTGTTTTCAGAAAGACAGTGTGTAAACCATTCATTTAGAGCTCACAAACCACAAAAGGAAAACCTGGTCTGTAAAGCTCACTTTTATCCTATGGCTGTGGGTGATAAGAACTCATCCTTTATTTTTATTCCTGTGGCTTTCCACCCAAAAAGGAAATAAAACCCCTCTCCATTTTAAGTTGCAACCCATCTTCTTTTGCTTAGTAGTGGTAAGCAGCTGACCTGAGCTGTGCTCTGTCTCCATATGCCACATTGAAAAGATCATGAGTATGAGAAACTATTCTGTACAGTTGTATGTAATGAAAGGTGTATTGACAGTCACTGAGATTCCATTTAGACCTTTCACATACATTGATTGATAGATGGGTCCTCACTCATAGCTGAATGATTCGTTCAACTATAGGAAGCTAAGGCTTGAAACAGTTGATTTTGTTAGACAGGTTACTGGTAGTGTTCTGTAAGGAAATGTATGAGATACCAGTCTGTTCAACATATAAAGTAGTGATCTAGGAAAACAAAAAAAAGGATGCTTAGCAGGTAAAATGGATTGCTACCAGCAGCAGGGCTAAGTAATGCTAGCATGCTGGCCACACAGAGTTGTACCAGGAGCGAACCTCCTGTTACAAAGTGACAGATCAGCCACTTGGCAAATGGGAGTCTGTGTACATTGTGCAATCATCGCCCAGACACTCATTAACAGTGGCTTTTTTTGGGAGAAAAAATCGAGTTTACTGGGATCTTGACACAGGGTAACACACTAGCAGGGTAGCACACAGCAATCAAGTTTCCGAAGCAGGATAACTGGGATGGTTATGGGAGTCTATGTGACGATGCTGTCTTTGGCTGGATCAAACGAGACTCCCTGAATTGCTGTTTAGCTCAGTTTTAGCAATACAGCTAGTTCGTGGTCCTGTATGACTACTACAGAGTTAGGGATGATCCATTGCTGCTGATTATCTTGATTTATGTGCAAAGTATCTCCTATCTTAACTGTGTACAAAACCACTGTCCTATATTACTATTTCTGCATCTACAGGAACAATTTATACAGTATATTTTTAATTCTTTGTACAATTTGGTCAACTCTGGAGCAGGAACAGCCTGGCCCGTCACTAGAAGGGGCCAGATTTTCCGTGCAAGTTGTTAATTGACTTGTTAAAACACATAAATTGATCTGTGCAAAGTGAGAGCTGTCTGCAGGACTCTTCAAGATAGTCCAAAATTCCCAGCTGGAGCACTCCAACACCAATTAGTCAAATACTTAACTGCAAAGGCAGCTTGACTTCAGTCAATCACCTTATTTCACATTGGTCCATTATGTCATCTAGGCAGGTGGCTAGCTGGGGAGTAGCTAGGTTACCCAGGGAATTAATAGCTAAGCGTAGTGGGTGCTGCACACAGGCGCATCTGTGCTACCCAACTGCACTGCAGTTATACCCGTAGGAGAAGTTTGAATTTCATGCTGTGATTTAAGTTCTATAGCTCTTGCCACAAAGTCACACATATGGGAAAAAACAATCCTAGCTTGGAGTCTGCATGCCTTACCAACTCAGAAAATTACTTGACTTCAGTTTTAAGGTGACATAAGCACTGAGACTGTGAGGCGCTGAGGCTGGGGGTGCCAGAAAAGAAACCCTTACAAGCCAGGAGTATACCCTAGGAGAGAGGAGGCATATTGTAAGGGTGCCTGGCCCTGCAAAAGGCTACCACCTGCTTCAGAGCAGTGGCAGTTGGTGCCAGTGGTCCAAGTGAGACACAGACCTTCTCTTCCTGCCCCTCAAGCTCTGGTCTTGGGCATTTGTCAGACTGTTTGCTATTTAAAGGCTCATCAGGGATACAAGGTCCAACTCTAGGTCTGTGCCATCTAAGAGTGCCACAGGAGGCAGGACAGATCAGCACGGTAGGGAATATTCTGGTGATTTCTTCCAGTAAAAAAAGGGAAAGTTGTCAATGTGGGCTCCATATGCAGAGTTACTGGATAAGATGAAGTAGCTTGGTTACAATTTAACAAAGTAGAAGCAAGCCGAATAGCAGGGGAGTTTTCTCTTGTACTAGAAAAGCATGGAACATGATGCACCAGTTGGAAATTGAAATATGACAAATTCAAATTTAGATAAGGTCTACATTTTTAACAATGGAAGTAACCAACCTTGGAAACAATGTACAAGATACATATATACACACACACAAATATACAAAAAGATAGTCTTTTAGTTGAAAATCTGTGTATCAAGATTGGAGACCTTTCTAAAAAGTATGTTCCATTTTGACTACAAGTTGTTAAGCTTGGTACAGGAATTATTTGGTTTTCTTTTGTGGTTTGTTTTGTGTTGGACTTTAGGCAGTGTTTTTATATATGTCTCGACATTAAAATTGTGAATACTTGATGTTAGACTGAACATGCTTCCTATCTGTGTCATGTTTTTAGAGATGTTACAAGAAGTATGCTTGTTAGACAGTCTTACAGTTACGTGCTTTTCTGCCCTCCAGATGTTACAGGTTGGTGTGAAAGGGAGGTTTTGCTGTACTGTTGCGGAATCAGTTCTTTCCAGTAACCACTTCAGTCTTTTTGAAAGATGTCTTTTTTTTTTGGAAAATAATTTTAATGTCTGTATAGGAAATGATGTAGTGTGGTCTAATCTGTAATAAGTTAATTGTATCTCTTTTTCAAGCAAAATCATTGTTTTCTCTCATTTTCTGTGTCAGTCTTGTGCACAGTGCATCTCAATCTTCAGGATGAGGGAAGTTTATAATTAATAGTACCCGTGGGACTAAAGAGTCTCCTTCCTTCTCAACACTTCCCTTCCAGAAGAAAATTGATTCTGTTTGCTGTTTAAGACAGATTGTTCAGTCAATCTCTATTCTCAGAGTAATACCAAAGTTAAGTTTTACAATCCCCTGCCAGTGTTTTAAATAATGCTTATACTACTTTTATGTATTAATGCATCGTTTCTCCTGAACACAAAACTGGCTACATTGAACCCATTTATTGTAACTTTTTTTTATTTTTATTTGAAGGTGTGTAAAAGAACAGACGTCTAAGGGGATGTAAAATACTCCTTTTTATAGAAAATGAAAGGTGCTAAACATATGTTTCTATTTTTACAGGCTAAAGCCTATCTAAAGATAGCTATGGAAATAGTAAGACGGCTGCCAGTACCTCCTGCTTGAAGTGTTTATCTATCACTGAAACTTAACAGAAAAGCAATCTTTTGGTGCGACCAATCTAGAAGAGTCCTGCTACCTAATAATGTGGATGTCATATTTTATTTCTAAGAACTTTTTAGAGGTTAATTTAGCAAAGGTTAAATTACGATTGTGATATTTACTGTTTTTCAAATCATTGTTTGGGCATGTCCAAATGGATTGAAATATGCAAAAGATGATAGACAGTATTCAGCTGCTGGATTGTAACATCATCAAGCAAGATGTGGTGAAGTACATTTTTCACGTGTCCTGTTTTAAGGTCAAGAATGAAAAACAGCTGCTCCAGCCAAGCAGAATGATGAGAGGAATGCCAAGGCATAAATCCTGCTTTAAAAGTTACATTTGCAATACTCCAATTTTTTGTCAGTTTGGGTTCAGCTTTTTACTGGGTTAACTACCCAGCTGACCTTAAGCTCTGCAAAATTTGAAGAATCAAATAGTTATGTAACTGCAGTACTTTTGTGTGTTCATCTTGCCAGAGAATTAAAAAAAATCCATGTATACTCTGAAGAGTTTTTGTTGTGGTTCATGAGCAAATTCATCCATTATTGGATAATGTTCGATCATGAGGCAATTCACAGTTTAGTGGAGAATGGATTACATGACCCTGAGGCTTATTTCTTGACTGCTTTGCATTACAATGGACACAGACAGAAGCTGGGTAACCAAGGTCTTCAGTGAAAACCAGATGTTGTGCCTGAGCTCAGTTTGCTAGGGGATGCAGATGATCAAGATAAATTAAATTTATGATTGCATATTCCTGTCACTGTGCAGCAACTTGGAATTTGAATATAAAGATATATTTTTGAAGTAAAGAAAAATGTGATCTTCAAACTACGTGGCCTTCTGGTTTGGTTTTTTTTTTTCATTGCTTTATATTTCTTCAGTCTTTATTTTTGTATTGGTGTGTGGAAGTGGAAAAGCATGCCTTCAGGGAATGAGTTTCCATTTACAATTAAATGTTTGAGTTGACATTTAGGCTTTTTGATTTACATAATCAAGTATGGATATCGTAAATACACAGCTTAACCATACCACACTGGGAATTTAACTGTACTGCGGAGTTCTGCTGTTGACCTCTGTGGGATCAAGATTTTCCCTGTAGTTCAATTATTTGTTCATAATTTTGGATGTAGTTGCTTTTTCTTATTGAAGTGATAGAGCATAAAAAGGTGGTATACCTTTACATTAAGAATATTTAAGTAATACGTACCCAGAATTTACATGGGAAAGCTGGACGTGAATTATGAATTGAATTTCAAGCTTAGGTGATTTTGTAAACATGTAAATTGTTTAGTCCAAAACTATTGATTTGTTGCTTCAAGTCAGTCTCTGAACCTTCTCTCCTGCACCCTTCCCATGAGATCTCATATCAATGTTCAGTTTTTTCAGTAGCGTGTTATCCCATGCCTGTAGAATTGACACGGATATTCACTTCTTTTCAGTTATCTAATATATTTTACAAAAATGAAAGCTGGCCTAGTGTTCTGCCTTTTCATATTTTATTGATAACTTACTGGGTTTTTAATTGAATTTTATATCTACACTTATTATTTATTCACTTCTGCTTTACATACTGTAATCGTTGATATGTATTTCTGAGTAATCCTGTGGTGGTTTTGGCATAGTATAATGACAAATTTCAGTGGAAAAAACAGGATACCTGCCTGTTTTGGTAAAAGACTGTGATACTTTCTGAACTTTGGTATTTATTATTTTCGTTCTCGTAAGTTTTTGAATCAGTCTCTGACACCCAGGTCATGTTCAGGCTGGGTGAACAACCAGTATACAGATATATGGTTGTTCGTTTTCCATTTCTTTTCTTTCTCATTATTTCTTGGGTTAGTTGAGGGATGAAATTTGCTTTCAAATGTCCTTTTATTTTTTACTCCTTTTAACAATTTTTTCCTTTTAATTAAGTACTGCAGTTTTGCTCTGCTGAATCATTCAGCTGCAGAACTGTTTTGAATGCCTTTGTCAGGGAAGTGGTTATAATGATTAAATATTTTTTTCTAAGCCAATCTGAGAATTTGTATTTAACATTGTTGTGGAAGGACTGCACAGTGTAGTTGGTGAATCCCCATTTATTGATTAAAAATTATCAGGGATTAAAAAACCCCACATAATTGTATAGAATAGGTAGGACACTTCAGCATTTAAGGGTAGCAATGGTCAACCCTAATTTAAAATGAGAACACATTTGCTTTGCTTTCCTCATTCTCATGAGTGAAAAAGTATCTGTTTCCCAGCTGGTCCCCTGCAAAGGAAATGAAGGGCATTGAGACAGTGTTATTGGTACTTAATGTTATAGAAATACATACTTGTTTTTTTATTATTATTATACAGTACACTGTTAAATACATATTAATGAATTCTAGTCAACATACTAGATTTGAAATCAAGTCACAGTTCATAAAATCACTGATAAAAGTTATTGGATTGTGGTGTTGGTGGTTGGATCAGCTGGAGGTTGAGCAGGAGACAGTGGCATTTAACCATAGTTTATAAATATAGATTATAGACTTGGCACACAGTGTTGTTTGCTTTTTTCAACTCCAATATTTTACTTTCATCTCTGTGATATTTCCTAGTGTACTAGTACATTTTTTCTAAAAATGCTAATCCTAGCAGTAGGACCTGGTTTTCCTGAGCTCTATGGGTAGATGCTCTTTGCTCAGGAACAGTGGAGACTTACTGCAAGATTACTGTGATCATGGGTTACCAGCACAGATTTATTAAAGTCTGTACCACTGTAAGCTGCAGATACGCACTGCAAAATCCCACAAAGAAAGAGAAAGAAGGAGGAAGGCTAGCGAGGCGCGGAGTCAAGCAGGCAGGAGTGGGGACAGAGGCCAGCATCAGTCCCAGCTTACCTCCTGTGTAGGTTAAAAGCAATATTCCCAGGATTGCCTCGCATCACTGTCAGTTATTTTTGCTTTCAAGACACAGCCCTTTGTCTAGTGAAAGCAGTTCTTGTGCTTGCAGATAATTACTGTTGTTTCTTGGATGAGGAGCATATGGGCTGAGTCTTAACACAGTGCATTTCCTGGCTTTCAGAAGTTTTGGTTTGGATGAAAATGAAGCTGAAGGAGGGTATAGAATTGTGTGTGTCAGTGAAGTATTTTGTTATAAAATCTTTATTGTTGTGTTCGGGTCATTGTGAACTGTTTAGCCTTCGAGACCATGGTTTCTGCAATCCTTCAGATGTTACATTTCTCACAACAACAACAAAATTTTTAATCATTATTTGAAGTTATGAGTTTGCAAATCAGTTTCGCTCTACTAGTTTGAGTTTAAACTACAACCCGTTTTAGTTGCTCTGGTGATCATGGTGATGAAATAACATTAATGTAGAGAAAAAATTCCAGAAGCAAGTCATCTTCAGTATATATTAACAAAAACCGTCTGTAATCCTGAACTTACTTCAAATTAGTTGGACTCACTTGGATCCAGTGCAGCAGGTTAAGATATATGAAAGACCTATCTTTCCCTTAGTAACTATGTGTTTTTCATGTAGACCTACTCAAATGCCCTGCTGGGTTTTTGCTGCTTTTGATACAGTTAGTGCTGTTTAGAGCAGGCTTTGATCCAAGGCAGGTGCTGCATACTGGTTTGTTGGTGAACTTTGTTCAGGCTATTATTTGGCCTCCTAATGTAAACCGAAGGCTGTGACCAAGAGGGAAAACAGGGAATAAAGAAGGGGTGAATTTTATGCCAGTGAGAATATCCCCAGGTTCTCAGGACCCTTCCATAATAATATTGGGCTTGCGGGTGCAAGAATATATGTGGGAGAATAGCAACAGGAGAGCAACAAGAAAGGAAAACCCTTCTGTTGCTTAGGAGAAAGATTAAAGAGCTGTGAGAGGTGCTGTGGGTTACAGAATTGATTTGCAAAGGTGAAGGCACCAAAGATGCTGTGTGACAATGCAAAGGGGATTTTGGTGTTCATCTGTGCAAAGCTTCTGTCAGAGCATCCCCAACCCCAAGGCTGGCATGTGAGCTCTGTACCCAGGCACCCAAGTGGCAGGCACTGCTCCTGTCCTTCCAGATACCACTGCTGGGGTTAGATCTCCATGCTTACTTTTCCACAAAGTTGGTAGTACTTACCCAAGGTGTGAGAAACTTGTTTCACTCCCAGCTTTGGTTGAGAAGATTCAGATTGATAGCTCTTAAATGTAGAAGTCCTCAGCCACCCAGCTTAGTCTTTCCATTAAGGAGCATTCATCACTTCTTCTGATAAAGCTGTATCATTTGTGGAAAAAATAACGAACATAGTCCTAATCACAGCTAATTATTTTTTATCCTTATGATTTTATCTGGACTTTAATCTTTGCTCCCAGCCTTATTGATGACTTTTATCTAAGAAGTCTGTGAATAAAATGATCAGTTCTTAGGACAATGTCTGGCATTTTAGCTGCTTACAGACTTTTGAGAAAAGATTCTGGGGTTCTGCTTTTGCATTCTGTTACGTGCATGTCATTTTAGTTTCTCATGGCCATACCTGGGCCTATGTTGTTGTCATTTTTGTTTAACAGACATGCTTCCTGGCAGAGATGGTTAGGGGGAAAGGATCGTGCTTAAGAATGCTTGACGATAAGGTGAATCTGAATTGCTGATTTAATTTCAGAATTGACATGTAATGGCAGGAGTTACAATGGTGATTATATTTTATTTTGGCAGCCTATCAGCCAAGGCACTGGTATGTCAGCCACATATCAAAAAAACACAGCAAAAGAGGTTTTCAGCCTAAATACAAGTCTTACCAATTTTTGTGAGCTCTGTTTTAAAGATACTAAGTCTGTAGAAAAGGTGTATTCAAAGATCTCTATTTTTCCTTTATCTTCACATATTCAGGAAGGTGCTTTTCCCCCCACTGCCCCGCAACAGGAAGAGTACAGGCACAACTTTTCATTCCTATTCCTCTCAGTTTCTTCATTTGTATGGGTCTGGATCTGAACACCCAC